TATAAGGAGATTTATGGGAATTGTCCTACTATAGGACTCCAATGAAATCATTCTTGCACTTCTAAATGCATCTCGTATATGTATCTAAGTTTGTGTTTGCTGAGAGTGCTTTAGTCTGAGAGCTGTGTCTCCTGGCTAAGAGTAATGAGTAAAAACAATGGCTTGCTGTTTGGATCCTGGTACTGAGAGTTGGTTCCCCTGTTACTGTGAATTGTATAAATTCTGTTTCGTTTTATACATGTTGGAAAATCTTTCTGTTAAATATTTGTTTTTTAGAGGGATGTCCTGGATTGTGTAATGGGAATGGCCGGTGCACCTTGGACGTCAATGGATGGCACTGCGTCTGCGATCTGGGCTGGAGGGGATCTGGCTGTGACACATCTATGGAAACGTCTTGCAGTGATGGCAAGGATAACGACGCAGGTAAGCAGCGCAGCGACGCAGCCTGTCTCTGTAGATCATCATTGTATCAAGCACTTGCTGCTCATGCCTTGTTGGAGTAATTGCAGAATGCGCTCGAATAACCGCTCTGTTATTTGGAAATGTCTATCAGTGTGCAGGTGATGGTTGTCAATTACGCCGCCTATAATTATAGTTGAAATCTCTTCACTTCCAACGAAGGGTCATTTCAGTATGTTTCCTGACTCACCCGGACAGACACAATGTGTGCGGCTTTTCTTATTGCTACTTCATTACTTATTGACCAGCTTTTTGTATCACTCACACTCATTGAACTGGGAATTGCAGAGAGCTGACAAGGGATGTCTGAACAAAGTACACAAATTGGAAACATTTACCAAGTTAACTAATTTACTGATCAGGTATTTTGGCTTAAACAGATCACATGTTGGTGAATAAACCCACATTGATCACATTTTTTCATATTGGAATTAAAGGGTCATTTTATTTCTCCTATAGTTTATTAGGGACATGTTTAGCGACCCCGTGCCACCTCCTTTTTATATATATAGATCTGCCCCCTAAATACGAATTATCTTACCCTTTTTGTAGCGCCGCCATCATGCCAGCGGTATCTCGTCTTCTGTGTCGTCGCCTGGTCTTCTGACTTTTTATTAATTTTCTTGTCTAATAGAGATGCGAAGTGCATGCGCACCAAGCACAACTCCACTCAGAAGCTTCTCATGGACATACATTGAATAGTTGTGATGTGATGCAGAACCTAGTGCTTTATACATCACACTACAAAGCAATGTACTACCCCTGCAGAGCCCAGCATTGCATTCTATACATGGCAGAGCCTAGCGCTGCATTCTATACATGCCCGAGCCTAGCTCTGCATTCTATACACGGCCGAGCCTAGCTCTGCGTTCTATACACGGCCGAGCCTAGCTCTGCGTTCTATACACGGCCGAGCCTAGCGCTGCATTCTATACACGGCCGAGCCTAGCTCTGCATTCTAGACACGGCCGAGCCTAGCGCCGCATTCTATACACGGCCGAGCCTAGCGCCGCATTCTATACACGGCCGAGCCTAGCGCCGCATTCTATACATGGCAGAGCCTAGCGCTGCATTCTATACACGCCCGAGCCTAGCTCTGCATTCTATACACGGCCGAGCCTAGCGCTGCATTCTATACATGGCAGAGCCCAGCGCTGCATTCTATACACGTCCGAGCCTAGCGCTGCATTCTATACACGGCCGAGCCTAGCTCTGCATTCTATACACGGCCGAGCCTAGCTCTGCATTCTATACACGGCCGAGCCTAGCCCTGCATTCTATACACGCCCGAGCCTAGCGCTGCATTCTATACACGCCCGAGCCGAGCGCTGCATTCTATACACGCCCGAGCCGAGCGCTGCATTCTATACACGGCCGAGCCTAGCGCTGCATTCTGTACACGTCCGAGCCTAGCTCTGCATTCTGTACACGGCCGAGCCTAGCGCTGCATTCTATACACGGCCGAGCCTAGCTCTGCATTCTATACACGGCCGAGCCTAGCGCTGCATTCTATACACGGCAGAGCCTAACACTGCATTCTATACACGGCAGAGCCTAGCGCTGCATTCTATACATGGCAGAGCCTAGTGCTACATTTGTTCTATAAGCAGCGCCTTGTGCTGTATTCATGCTATAGAGCCTATCACTGGATTCTTACACAGCAGAGCCTTGCGCTGCATTCTTTACACTACATAGTAATTTGCTGCCTCATTCTATGCTTCAGAGACCAGCTTTATATTCTCTGCACTACATAGCTTTATGCTGTCTCCTTCACTTGCAGAGCCTATCTGCAATAAACTTGTTCTACCACCTTCCCGTGTGCAGAGCATTGCTCTGCTTAATTCCCATTCGTAGAGCCTTATATTGCCTTTTTCCCCTGTAGACTGTTGGGCTGTCGCCTTACCACCTGCAGAGCCCCATTTTGCGTGCGGGATGATACACGAGTAGCTTAATAGAAAGCATCAACTACTGGTTCTTGTAGAACCTGCTATAAAAGAGATCATCGGTTATCTGCTGGTTTTAAGGGAGCCAGAGTGAACAGATAATCGTTTAACTGGGTAACCCTTTTAGCATCATCACCATGCTTTTTAGATTGATTAGAACAGGACCTCAAAATCAATCTCTCAATGCAGGCAGTGCATCCGTACTCTCTGATAATCCTCTGCTTTGCCAGATAATTAATATTAAGGTGGTCGATCCTCCTCTAAACATTGATTTTCTGCCATAACACTGGATTACACTTTACCGCCGGTCATATTGCTGATGAGTGTATAGTGCCAGGCAGCAGATTTAAACAGTCGGATAGTCAACGTTCCACTGTTTATTCACAGGACAGTGCATAGGGAAATTCGCACCAAAGTTAGGGTATTAAGACCTCTCTGCTAGCAGAGTCCCACCAATCGATTCCCAATATTTATTGCATAGATTCCAAAAGTAGCATAAATTGTTTATCACCATCTCTGTTTGTGGATGATAAATGAGGAAAGTCTGTCTGCGTTTTATTTTTTTCTTTATTTGTATAATTCTATCTCTAGAAACCTGTTTTTACCCTGGAAAATAGATTCCATTAAGTGAAAGTCTCCCTATATGTGTTGTTCTATGAATAATTCCTTCCTGGTCTTTTATAAATGGAGAACCTGATCAGACGTGACGTCTCTCCAGACACTGCGAATGCAAAGTGATTGCTTCAATAATCCTACCCTGTCTGACACTGAAATGAGTTGGCTCACAAGGTAGGATTAGTGTAAGTGCCGCCATCATAAAGCGAGAGATTTTCTTAATTGGCATCATAAAACAGGATTTCTCGCAGTACTGTCCCTGCGCTATAAAGATAGACTTTATTGAATGTCACCTGAAAACCTCATTCATTTTTTATTTTTCTTCCAAAAACCAAGAAAACAAAAATTGAAAACAACAACTTGACCCCTTCTGACAGGTGAGCTTTATGTATGGCTAACCGCCGTCTATCGCCTTGTCTTTTGTCCCATATGGAGGACAAATAAGTGGGGGGGGGAGTGGGGGAGAGAGAGCAAAATTTTAAAAATATATTTATTTTCTTATATTTGCACAGGACACGTATAGTTGAACTTGGTGGGAAAAGCAGCAAAGTACCCTTTCCCAGCATTCTTTAGATCATTCTAAACAATGTTATCCTACAGTGTTTATGTTATTGAATAGAAAAGATCAACCACACAACAAAATGCATGGCTGATTGAAATCGAGTTTTACTCTGCTTTTTCACGGACGCTCCTCTAGTGGCAGTCACATTGACCGCCTTTACAGGCAGGTTAGCTGTACAATGAAAAGATTGCCATTCCTGCAGAACGGCAATGTTTTCAGCGGCAGAGTTAAAACAGGGGGCACGTGGCCGCCAGACCCCTTCATCGAGATGAAATGATCTGGATGCCTAGAATTTTCCTCTAAAAGAACATTCCAAACACTATAATCACTACAGCTGCCTCTAGTGATTATGGTGCCAGGAGTGCCATTGCGCAATCCCATGGTAAGAGTTTAGTACAGTTTTCCTGGGACCCGCTGGACACCTATGGCATCAGTCCCTGCTTCCAGTCTTCTTCTGCACAAGCATCTGGTTAGCTTAACAGAGCTAAGATGGACCATGCAGAACCACTCTCATTGGCTGAGATCAACAACTTCACTTACAATGCTTTGTTCTACAGATGCATCTCCTACCAGGGCCGGACTGGGAAAAAAATTAGGTCTGGGAATTTTAAATCACAGCGGCCCCCTGAGAAAGGGGCGGGACCAGAGAGTGTGTGTTTTGTCATCACTAATGACAAGCACGTCCCCTCTCAAAGTGAGCATGTTAGTTCAATGCGCAGAGCCCTGCTGAAGAGCTCTAGCATGGGTAAAAGGCCCTGTATTTGTTCTGCGCAGCGCAAGCAAATTTAATAACAAGCTTGCGCTGTGTTTGCTTTTAACTTGTGTCTGGTGTCTCCATAAGTGGGATACCAGAGGACAAAAGGGCCAGAAAAGCGTATGGTGCATGTGCTTGGAGCCTGCTTGTGGTATTGTGTGTGTGTTAAGTAAGCTGATTGTGGTGTGGTATTGTGTAAATAGGTCAATTTAATTCGTGTTTGTGGTGTAATATGTGTGGCTAGGAGCTGTAGCGAGTGTTTATAGGGGGCATAGTGTGTATAGGGGATGTAGTGAGTGTGTGCATACGGGCTGTAGTGTGTGTGTAGAGGTTGTAGAGAGTGTGTGTTTAGAGAATGTAGTATGTGTTTGCGTACAAGGAATGTAGTGTGTGCATAGGTGATCCAGCGTTTGTATGTCAGGAATGTAGTGTGTGTAGGTGGTGCAGTGTGTGTAGGGTATCTTGTGTGTAAAGGACCCAGAGTGTGTATAGGAGATCGTGTGTGTGTGTGTATATAGAGGATTCAGAGTGTATATAGGGTAAGGGATCTAGAGTCTAACTGGAGCGTAATGTGTGTAGTGGTGCTGTAGTATATAATATTGTAAAGCGCTACGGAATCTGTTGGCGCTATATAAATGGCAATAATAATAATATGCGTGCTGCACCCTTCACACATACACACTGCGCCCTTCACACATACAATACGTCCAAACACATATATACGTATGTGTTTGGACGCATTGTATGTGTGAAGGGCGCAGTGTTTTGGGTGTGCTGTGTGTATGTGTGAAGGGTGCAGCATGTGTGTGAGGATTGCAGTGTGTGCGTGTAAGAGGGGTGCTGTGTGTGTGAGGGTGTTCTTATCTACTGTCACATTCTATGTTTCTAATTTTTTTTGTCTTTTAACTTACTGAGGGTTATTTTATATATTATACATACGTGTGTGTTGTATATGTGTGAGTGAGGGTGCTGTGTGTGTCTGAGGGTGATGTTAGTATGAGTGTGATGTGTGTGAGTGTATATAGCACAGTGTTTGTATAAATGTTTTTATTTATTTATTTATTTATTTATGGAGGGTGCCATTCTGCCTGATCCCTGGTGGTCCAGTGATGAGAGTGAACTCTAGCCTGCAAGCTAAAGTTCATTCTCGCGAGATCTGAGCGTTGCCGTGGTAGAGCTCCGCCGGTCCTCTCTCCTCCCTTCCTCACTCCCCAGCCAGCGGCCGCATGTAACAGTGCCTGTGGGCCGGTGAGGGAGATCTTTGATCTCCACACCAGCCCATGGAGGCACACAGCAGGGCCGGCGCTCGGATAGTGCTGGCCCTGCATGGGCCGGCCGGGGAGATCCTGTGATCTCCCCTGCCGGCTTCGGTCCACGGCCATCGCGGCCCAACGGGCATTTGCCTGATATGCCCGATGGCCAGTCCGGGCCTGTCTCAAACAGAAGACCCCATATGACACCTGGGGGACCAAACTATACTTAAATGGTTTGAGCCGCGCATTCTACATTCCTTTCTTGAAACCTATCTACTCCACCCTTCTATGATACACATTTAAATCTTTCTAACGATCATTCCTAAATAGTCTTTCCAATGACGATACTCTGTTTTGATGCTCACCCATCCGGATTCTTGCATACGTAACAAATCTGCATTGACTCCAGCTTGACTCCTCTAGGGTCATGACTTTTGGTTACAGGAGAGGAATCTTTTTTTCCCTCTTGAGAAATAGCTGTCTATACTCCTGCTATAATCTTCCATAGCCCTATAATATTCTTCCTTTTAGTTTGAATGTCCCAATTTAAATTCTCAATTTTTTTCCAAATCTCTACCACAAACTCTTAAACTAATTCTGAACGAGTTGACTCAACCAATAGCTCTTTACATTTTATTTATTTATTTTGCTTTTGTTTCTTAAACCTTTTTTTTTTTTTTTTTTACACACGTTTAAAGCGGATGTGATAACAGCATATTTGACCCCAGATATTGTATATACACATTTTTAGTATCCCTTTAAGCACAGAACTGGTCTGCTCACTTAACGTTCATCGCACTAATACAAGCCTGAAGGATTTTGTTACCATGACCATAACAAAGAAAAGACTTTGGATCATTTTGTGTCAGTGAGCCAGGATTCTAAACATTAAGCTCAGCACACAAACAGTCACAGCGATGTTATACAATTTAGTATGCCTCCAGCTCTTTGCTTAATCCAGTGACCTGCACCAAATTTTCATGCAAAAAGAGCACCCTGTGGTATAGATTATCTACACGCTAAGGAACAAAGTCTAAGCATAAAATTGGAGAAATGATCAAAAAAAATTGCCTTTTTAGATAATATTGTGCACAGTGCAGTGCTATAGATCAAATGGAAAGCAGAGTAAGAACAATGTAAAGGAATACAATGGGGAACATTTTCCATTGCGTGTTGGGGGGGGGGGGTTCAGCAATTTATGTTCAGCAAATATAGGATGCAGCGACTTTCTGGTTCCTAACAATACATCCAGGTATAACGTTTAGTTAAGAAAATGGGAATGTATCTCCTGCCTACCTCTCAAATATTATGTACATAGGAAGCAATATCTCACAATTGAGATGATGGGTTTTTTTGTGCATGGCGTGTAAAGGTTTGTGGGGTGTTTGTTTTTAGAGAGTTTCAGGTGATTTTAATGCTGGGTGGGCCTGGGTTATTGTTAAACTCTATTTGTAGAATCTGAACAGACTGCACCCAATGAACTCTGGAATTTAAGGGACACTATGGTCACCTGAACCACTGCAGCGTACTGTTGTTGTTCTGGTGTTTATAGCCTTTCCCTGCAGGCTGAGCACTGTAAACGCTGCCTTTTCAGAGACATTGCTGCCTATTAACACAATGTGCTGGTGCAGCACTTGCATTCAGCGTCTGCATGCTTTGCATGGAGACACTGATCACTCCCCTATAGAGATGCTGATTGGTGTAGCTCAGAGTTTTGTCATGCATGTGCAGTAGCCTCCCAATGCTTTTTTTTCCTATGGGAAAGCATCGTATTGTCTGAGATCATCAAGCTTGATGATATGAGCCATGGGGTCCTGTCTTACCGTGACAGTGGATAGAAGTTAAGTAAAATACATTTTAACTCCACTCTGAGGGGGACCTGGGACCTAGACAGGTACTCCAGCACTATAATATATGAATACATATTTGTATTTCTAACACTATTGTGTTAATTTAGCTTAAACTGGATCTGTCCATAACTTAAACTTATTGTGTTTTCTGTAAAGGAGAATTGATAAGATGTGACAATCCCTACAACGCCAAATTTTTACCAAAATAGAAAAAAAAAGCAAAAATCTCCCTTTGTTTTAGATCCTAAATTTTGCAAAATGTATTTTAAAGTTTAGTACTAATTCCCATTGCTTAGTGAATGTACCTCTACATCGAGTTAGCTTTACAATATTTGTATATACTCATAGACTGCCTCATTAATGCCAGGTTTTGCTACTGAAGAGGCAATATTCTAAAAGTGGGGCAGTAACCTGGGAACCTGCAGAATGTGCCTGTGTGATCTTTGGCAGTGAACAGATCTGCCATCCACCCTGGCCACCGGCCCCGCCAGCGCTGATGTCACCATCGAGAGTCTTTGCGAAGTCCCAGATAATGACAGTGCCACTTTAAGCAAAGATCCATTTCAGTTGCCAAGTTAATATATCCAAAATCCTGTTGTGAAAAGAATTCCACACGAGGGCAGATCACAGGCATCGTGGACAGAGGTGACTGAAATGGCAGCAATCAGATATTACAATTAGTAAAGTTGGCAAACTTAGCCACTGAAACAGACGGTTGCATGTTCTTGAAGCTCCGGGCTTCATGCAACTGAAAACCCAAATATTGGAGCCGTTCCCCAGGCTAGCTGAACTTGGGATATATCACAAGTTAGCCCAGAAGACATGGGGTGCAAAACAAAAAATCCCAACTCCGACAGACCACACATGAGGATAAATATCGGAGAACTATGAAGGCAGGCGCAGGGCGCGAGCAGGCCCAAAATGGCCGCCCTCTCAGGAGGCTGCTCAGACCTCTCCGATGAGCTGTCAATCGAGAGTGAGGAGAATTACGAAGCACCAGACTCAGATCCAGTTACCACCGCTATACTGAAAGAGCTCCTAGCAGTCTTAATCCATCCAACCATCCAACCAGACATGGCAACGATCCGCAGAGGCCTACAGGGCCTGACAGGCTGCATCAGAGTGCTGGAAGAAGCCTCACACAAAGCTACATGGAAACACTTCAACAAGCTGTCCGGGAACTACAAAGGCAGACCCAAACATATGAGCGCAGCTTTGCGACACAAGAGAATATCCAACGCCAGAACAACTTAAAAATCAGAGGGATTTCGGAGGACGTTCCAGAAGCTGAATTACAGCACCTCATGAGAAGACTTCTGGTAGTATTGCTGCCGCCACGGCCGGCTAAAGCAGTAGCTCTGAATGGTCTCTTCTGCATCCCCAAACCGGCTAAAGCACTGGATGCTCTACTGAGGGACCTGGTGGTCCATTTCCAGACTGGAAAGGACAAAGCAGCTGTGCTAGTGGCCCTCAAGGGTACATCGCTGTTCCAATTTGAGACTATGTACCTGGCCTTCTATCAGAACCTCTCAAGCAGGAGGTCCCTTAAGCCTTTGACCTCAATTCTGCAACAATGAAATATACTTTACTGCTGGCGCTTGTCCCACTTACTCCTGATCATACACGGAGACTCCACTTACTCACTACAGGAGGATCTACAAGATTCACCAGCGTTGCTGCGAGACCACAGGATAGTCTGTCCAGTAAAGACCCCACCACCGCACAGAAACCCCCACATGCATGGAACTCTGCAAAAATTACCCCGTTCACCCCGTGATAGACCCCGTTGGACTCAAATGCAGACCAACACACTGCCTTACCTTACAATCTTAAGTTTTGTTTTCTCTTGTGTTATTCTACAACTTTAACTGATTGTTGCATTTTCTTTTAGATAACTCCCCTTGGCCATCTGACTGACCGTAACAAACACCAGTTTACTCTGCCCCCTTCTCACCCCCTGCCTCAGGGTACAGCTACCTAGTTCACACCACCTATTTGACAAGTGAGCAGTGGTGTATCCTGGTTTTGTGCTGCCCTAGGCAGGACAAAACGCAGGCGCCCCCCTTCCCTCCCGCGCCAACCCCCCCTGCACCAACCCCCCCACCTTCTAAATACACACACATTCACTGACAGATACGCATACACTCGCTAACAGAAACACACACACACACTAACAGACACACTCACACTCACTAACTGACACACACTCACTAACACACACACTCCCAGGCAAACACACTCACACAGTCAGATACACACACACTCACTGACACACTAACAGACAAACATAGTCAGACACACACAAACAGACACACTCACTCACTAGCAGACACACACACACACACTAACAAACACACACACATTAACAGACACACACACACTCACAGGCAAACACACACTCACTGACACACAGTCAGACACACACACATACACACTAACAGACACAGTCAGACACACACACACTAACAAAACACACACACATTAACAGACACACACTCACTCACTCACATTAACACATTTTTTTATTTATTTTTATTTAGCCCCCCCTTACCTTTGGGAGTGCTGGGAGGGAGGGGTTCATTACCTCCCTGGTGGTCCAGTGGATGCTGGCTGGGCTGGCGGGCGGCGCTGGGCAGGCGGCTGGCGAGGGAGCTCTTCCCCTGAGCGGTCT